GGCGGGGCCAGCAGGGATCGCGGCTGCAGCGGCGGCGGGCAGCGCCGCGGCGGCGTGGCGAAGAGCAAGAGCCGCCGCAAGAAGGGCGCCGCCGCGGTGTCCGTGGAGCCGCACCGGCACGAGGGCGTGTTCATCTACCGCGGGGCGGAGGACGCGCTGGTCACGCTGAACATGGTGCCCGGCCTCTCGGTGTACGGCGAGCGGCGAGTCACCGTGACCGAGAACGGCGTGAAGCTGGAGTACCGCACGTGGAACCCCTTCCGCTCCAAGCTGGCCGCGGCCATCCTGGGAGGGGTCGACCAGATCCACATCAAGCCCAAGTCCAAAGTGCTGTACCTGGGGGCTGCCTCGGGGACCACCGTCTCCCACGTCTCCGACATCATCGGCCCGGACGGCCTGGTCTACGCTGTGGAGTTTTCGCACCGCGCTGGCCGCGATCTGGTCAATGTGGCCAAAAAGCGAACCAACATCATCCCGGTTCTGGAAGACGCCCGGCACCCGCTCAAGTACCGGATGCTGATCGGTATGGTGGACGTGATCTTCGCCGACGTGGCCCAGCCGGACCAGTCGCGCATCGTGGCTCTGAACGCGCACACCTTCCTGCGCAACGGAGGTCACTTTCTCATTTCCATCAAGGCCAACTGCATCGACTCCACTGCGTCCGCCGAGGCCGTGTTTGCCTCGGAGGTGAAGAAGTTGCAGCAGGAGAACTTGAAGCCTCAAGAGCAGCTGACCCTGGAGCCCTATGAGAGGGACCATGCGGTGGTAGTCGGTGTCTACCGGCCCCTTCCCAAGAGCAAGTAATGGCCAGAGCAGGGTCTCCCTAAGCATTTCCCAAGACTGCTGTGCCCAGTCTTCTTGTGTATGTTTGATTCCTGTTTGTGTTTTCGATGTGTGTTTTGCTATTAAATCACATAAAAGAAACAGTACCCAGGTGTATTGGTGAGGCCAGGCTGGGTTTTCCTACCTTAACAATCACCCTCCCAAACCCAGTGGCCTAGGAGCTGTGGTTATTCTTATCACCCCAGTTCTTAGCTCCTAGGGAACCAGGACATTTTCACAGTGCTTCCTCTCATCAAAATGGCAGAGAAACGATAACCTGGGAATTGCTGAAGTGGATTGAAGGTTCCCCTTAGAAATGATGGGGGCATTTCTGTTCATACTGGCCAAGTCACATGACCAAGCCCAAGTCTAGGGAAGGATAGTAGATATTGGTACGTTTGACCTGTCTAACTCAAAGCAAGAATCTTAACCACATAAAGTTTTTAGTACTTTATTTTAAGCTCTTGTGCATTCACTGTTTACATTTAATCATTCCACCAGCTCTGAGATAGTTTTGTCACCATCTCGTATTGTAGAGCAATAAGGCTTCTGAAGATAAACTATTTGTCCAAATTTAAGTGGCTCAGTGTCACTGAGGAAGGCAGACATGGTAACCACTGTACCACTAATGCCTCTCAATGGCACTCTGGGGCCTAAATTCACCACCCTTTGGCACCAGAAGGTTCTTAGCTCCCCAGGATGGTGCACCCTGGCACACAGATAGAGCAGGGCTCTCAAGCCTTAGGGTGTTGTTTTTCCTCATCTCCTTGGGCTACCCCTTTTCTAAGATTACACAAAAGCCAAACAAAGCAGGAAGGTGGGATGGGGGCCAGGGCATCAATACACAAAGCGATCTCCCCACAGGTCTGCAGAACAGCTGAGGAAATAGCTCCTAGACAATATCCATTTCTGAAGGGTATGAGCCAGCCAAGAGAGCTGAGAATCAACATTTAGTCTGGAAATGACTGCTCACAGTGCATGATTTGGAGGGTGGGTTTGCCTTCCTAAAGATGTGATTAGGCAAAGGTTATAGCTAGTCTGCTTTGTCCCAGTATCTTCCTGGAAAAACAACAAAACAGAGGATAAACCAGACTTTTAAAAAGGCAGCTACCTCTTCATCTTCTCCCCAGCCCCCATACCAGAATTCAGGGAAAGTTACAGTTCAGGTTGTTGGCAGGACTGACTCAAGAAGAGAGCAAGTGGCATAAATACCCACCAAACCCCAAACTTGATTTTCCTAGAAACAATGGAAACCTTCCCCCCAGCCCTGGGAAGCAGAGGCCACTATCCCTATTTAAGGATGAGAGAAGTACAGTTCAGAGAGACGAGGCAACTTGCGTAAGATCCCCTAGTGAGGCTCGCAGCCAGAAATCAAAGTCCTGTCAGTCAGACTCCAAAATCTACATCCTTTTCACTGAATCTATCCTGGCTTATTGCTTTCAAAGGCCCTCTGTCCAGTCCTGTTAGTAATTCGATGAGTCTTGGAAGCTGTGGATGGAACCCCAGGAGCAGGTGAAGGTGACAGATGCTGGGCACCTGGCAGGGAAGCCTGTGCTGCAGCTGGACCACAGGACCCAGCCTTGCTCCCAGCCAGCTCAGCTTCAACAGGAGCCGTGTGTCTCCCTGACTGGCAGCTTGTCCCCAGGATGAGGTGCAGAGCCCAGGAAACCCGATGTCCTTCTTTAGCGGCCCCCCATCCCAGTACAAACTATTTACAGTCTGTGTCTGAAGCTGCTGGGAGCCCATCAAGGAAGAAATGGCATGAAAACAACCTGCTAAAGAATCTCTCTGCTGCTGAGTGTGGTGCCACTTGTCTGTAGTCCCAGCTACTCAGGAAGCTGAGGCAGGAGGATCACTTGAATCCAGGAGTTCAAGGCTAGCCAGGGCAACACAGTAAGACCCCAGTTAAAAAAAAAATCTCTGAGTTGAAAATGGGTTCCTGGGCCAGTGGAATGGCATGGTAGATACTGAAAGAAATACAGGAATTAGGATGAGGGGAACACACCGAGGAAGCTGGATGAGGGAAGGGAAAAGGCTGGGACTTTTAACTCCAGTGGACAGTGAGACCCAGGAATATCAGAGATATCAGGGGCAGCGACAATAGACCCTAGATGCACTTAGAGCTCGGAATGCATCAGTGACCATCTGCTTGGGTTCCAGGGGAGGATCTCTGTATTTATTTGTCTTTTGAAGTTACTGTAACAAAGTAGCACAGGGGGAGTGGCTGAAACAACAGACACTTATTTTCTCACAGTGGGGGTGGCTAGAAGTCCAAGATCAACATGATCGCGGTTTGGTTTCTGGTGAGGGCTATTTTCCTGGCTTGTCTGAGCTGCCTTCTCAGTGTGTGATTGATCACAAGGCATGTCCTCTGCGTGTGAGATTCGGCCCTCTACTGTGTCTTCCTCCTTTCATAAGGACACTGATTCTACTGGATTAGGGCCCTATCCCTATAACCCCTTTTAACTTTATTGCCTCATGAAGGTCCTGTCTCCATATAGAGTTGCACTGGGCCTTAGGGTTTTCAGTTCATAGCACCAGGGCTGAATGAGAACTTCCAGCTAAAATGCTTGCCTTCCTGGATTGTGAGAACTGGCTGAGGAGGTCACTGTACAAAGTGGAGATACCTGCATGGAGCCAGGCATATAACAAGTACCCTACCAGAGAATGCATAGCCCTCCTACTGCCAGAGCTGCCTTGGATTGTGAGGGAACTTAGTATAGTTTCTGAGGGTCCTGCTCCACACTGGGACTATGCTGCTAAGTTTCAGAGAATCAGCAGCTCCATCGAGAGCTGGAGTGTAGAACCCAGTGCATTATGTTGGCAGCAGAGTGACCAAAGCAGGAGGCTGATGCTCAAACACCAGGCAGGATGGACACACAGCAAAAGCAGTGAGCAGATGCCTGGCTCTCGCTCTCAGTATCATGTCCACCAGCCTCCTCCTTGCCCAGACAACTTCCTGTGACAAAGAGGGAAAAACTGGGCTGGAGAAAAGACTTAGAGAAAAGGGTCCATTTTACACTGGAAAAAAAGTTTCCCTTAAATTGGCAGTTTCCCTTCCCATCCTGCTATTGAGGAAGATGTTTGAGTACTTCTGAACTGTAGTATGTTTGGATATTGCTACTCCAATATTTATCAAGCACTTACTATATCTCAGGCATAAAGCCAAGCATTTACCTGATTTTTAAAGGTATGATTTTAAAATTAATAATAGGAACATTCCAGGAAGTGCTGAAACTTTAACATTCAGCTCGACAAACTGTTGCAAAATGAGCACCTGTCAGAGCTAATTTGTGAGGCCTGAAGCAGGAGAATATACAGGCGGCTGACCTATGGTCTGCTCCTTTCTCTTCTCAACTCTGGTTCGTGCAGGTTCTCATGCCACGTTGGTAGCCCAAGTATGACCAAGTATGTAGCCCATACTCCATCTCAAGCCCAAGATCCATTCCCACGCCTTTCCATTTTCCTCCTTTAAGCCGTAGCTTGGGACCAGAGATGCAACGGAAAGCACAGTCTCCTCTCTAGAGGGCCAGCTGGAAAGGAGGACTGGAGGCATGTGCAGAATTAGGCAGGGTTCCTGGCGCACAATCAACACATGCTCCTATGAGGAATGGTGCTTGGTCCCTGAGGATTTCCTGCCCCGTGAAGCAAGGATCAGAAGAGGAAGGTCAGAGTGCCATCCTCACAGTGTGGCACCCAAGAAACGGACTCCAGTCGCCCATTCCTGGCAACTGGGAGTTTCCCCTTTGGCTTTCTACCCATCCAAGTCTCGGCATTCTCCACAAGGGGGAAAATTTAACCCCCTCAAGTAGTCCTGCCATGCCCTTTGGCTAACAGGAAGCTCTTGTTTCATATTCAGGTAAGATACCCTTGACTATGCACATATCAGGCGGCGGATGCTTCCTTGCACCTAGTTTCACTTAATTCCCCCAGCATCCCAGGGAATCGAGTGTTGCCCCTCCCATATCGCAGATGACAAACTGAGGTGTAGGAAAGTGACGTAAGTCACCCAAGGTAGTGCAGCTAGAGAGTGGGAGATCTGGGATTTCTGGAGCAGAACTGTACTCTCTAAGTCTGTGAAATTAAAATCAGACATTCTAGGGAACGGACTGGCATTGACATTTTTTAAAGGTCCCTAGGTGACACTAATGTGCAACCAGGACTGAGACCCATATTTAAAATCTTGTATTCCTTCTGTCACTGACTGAGAAAGAATTAGGACAGTGTTTTGAATAACTGGAAGATAACAGCTGGTACATAGGCATCTGTCAACACAGGAAGCTCCCAGGATCCCAACAGGAAGACAGATGACATCGGTGCCTCAGAGAGAAGTTATTGATACTCCTGTTCCTTGGGACCCTGACTGAACACTGCATGTTGAGCATGTTTATCAGGGAGTGAGAACCAAGTTGACAGACTTTGAAGTTTAATGTAGCCAGTTCAATAACAAGCTCCAAATGAGACTAAGTCTTTAATCACTTACTCTGTTGGCACAAGACGCTAAAACCAGAGAAGGTGTCAACTTGTCCAGTTTCATTTTCCCCATGGAATGGTTTCACCCATCCATGATCAAGTGGATTGGTGTAGTAATTGGGCTCATCTGGGTTTTTAAAAAGCCCCCAGCAAATGACTCCAGAAATTTCTTGGTCCGAGTTGGGCAGGGCTGGGAAGGGAGAGGGAACAGCTAGAAGTGGAAAAATACAAGTTGATGGGGAAAAGTGTTCAAGCTTTTCAGTGGATTCTGTTCAAGGCCTCAGCTAAAAGGATGTAGGAATAAAAACACAAACTAGGAATGGTAATTATGAAAGAGCATGGCCACCAGGGTGGCCCACATCCTAAAATGAGACTCTTCAGAGGCTGGCCCGGCAAGGCTGTGTTCTGTGCGGAGAGCAGCTTCCCCTATGAAACCTCTCAGGGAAGACTTTTGTAGTTGCCCATGGTTAGGTCTGAAAAAAACTTGCACATAGGATTTTAACAAGGAGCCAGATTCTTCAATATTCGCCTTACCCAGACTGTAATGTAGTAGCAGCTCCCAATACTTAAGGTTTGAATGAGGCTTTTGATGTCTTGAGCAAAACATTTATGGACTTTTTACCCCCCCAAAATC